TAACTTTTTTTTCTCATTTCATTGGAATTGTTGAAGAAAAGTTTGCCGAAATTACTGTTCGATTATTCGTTGCTGTTGACATCTAAAAGTTCAATTTCGTTGCTTTGAATATTCTTTTTGTTGGCTTTTAAAGTAAAGGAAAACGGAAATTTTACTGAGGCTCATAACTTTGAGAAATTCATGAAGAAGTACAATTGCTCTGAATAACTCATCTTTAGTGTCGAGAGAAAAGGAAAACTTGTTTGTTCATAATTTATGATCTTTTTTGCTGCGGAGAATTTCTCTGTACTTTGTCGAGTTTTGTCGAAATTCGACTTCTAACGATCGAAGTGTTTACTTGGAATTTTGCAAACTTTAATTTCTTTTGCTCATTAATGTATCTATTTTCATCAATGATTGGTTCGATTGATTTGAATCAGTTGGGAAAAGAGAAGAGAAAAGTGTATAAAGAAGATGAAAGTTTTCGATCAAAGTTCATGATGGAATTCATTTGTCATGATATCATCCCTTACCTTTCTCCAACTAATTCATTCCATATAAAGTAACTTTCATCTTTATCAATTTCATTTTCAACTTGTGATGAAATATGCTTTTTTCTGGAGAAGAGAAAAAAGTTCCAAATTAAGATTGAGAAAAAAAAGGTGAAAGGAAAAGAGCGATTCCAATGAATCAGCTTTTAGAGCGATAAAAAAGTTTCTCTTTTTTGTTCTCTTTCGTTTCAAATGAAATTGAACAAACGCAGTTTCAATTCCATTTGAAGATGAACTCGAAATTTTACTTTAAAAAAGAAGCTGTTCGAAAGAGAAGAAAAAAATCTATTCTTTTGACATCATTTTGGCAAACATTTTCTTTCCATTTGATAAATCAATTTGAACTTTGTCTTTGCCATGGTTAATGTATTTCCATGCTTTTCACTTGAAATGAGAAACAAAGATAAACTTGTTAAGAGACGAAAAACAAGGGAAAAGTTTTCTCTTCTAATCATGATTAATATCAACTGAAAATTTGGCAAAAATTCATTTCAATAACTTGTTCAACTTCATCATTTAAATGGACCAACAGTCGAAATTGACTTTTGGACAATCTCTTGATGAATATCAAAATTTTTCATTATCTTCAAGTGGCAACAGTCCATTCATTTGTGAATTGATAAAAGTTCATTTTTCAGTTTCTCATCCAATGATCAAGTTTGTACTCCAAAACTCGAGATGATTTAATCGTAAATCACTTTGTCCCATTTCACAAGGAAGTCATTAGTTGGTCTTTGGAACCTCGGAATTTCAATTCCGCCAAGATTATCCATTTGACGATGAAACTTTTGTTTACCCTTTTCCTCACAAGAATCAACATCCGGTTCTTTCACAGGGGAAAAAGTCAATGTAATCAAAAAAAGAAACTCTTTTCTCTCTCTTCTCTGTGTTGCTCTTTCAACACAAACATTTGATATTGAAAACTTCCGTTTTTTGTATGAGACAAGTTGGACAGTTGTAATGGACAGTTGTGAGGAAAACGGAAAAAGTTTTACTTATAATAATGATAAATCCTTTTATAGTGATGATGATCATTTGTAATAATAATTTGCTCAAGATGTAACTTTGAAATGAACAAAATGTTGGCTGAAAAAAGAACTCGAAATATGATGAAATTCTGATCAATGAAAAGTAATAAAAGGAAAAGTGTAAACAAAGTAAACTTTTTTCTTCTTCTTCCCTTCATCAACAGAGTTTGGTTTAAGGGAGAAAAGATGAAAATACGAGAAAAAAACGTGAAACTAGTCACTGAAAAGGTATCAAGATACGTGATGAAATTGAAATGTAATCAAGATTATGACGAATGGCTATTTGGCAGGGAAACAAGATGAAGAGTGAAATTCTTGGTGAAATGGTTTTGATGGTTTTTTGAGAAACTTGAATTTGAAACAAAAATATTAACATGCCAACAGTGTAAACACTTGGAATGAAACTAAAGATTCATTGTTAACTTGTTTTTAAACTTGCAATCGCTCATGAAAACTAGAAACTGGTGAAAAGGGTGATGAAATGAGCCTTTGTCATGCTTGGAGTAGGCTATTAATTATGGTCAGTTGGGTTGGTCATTGATTAACTTGAGCAAAGACAAAATGTATCAACTTAGTTCAAGCATAAATCACTAGAAATTGGCCAATCTTGAGATTTACTCTTTTCTGTAATAAACTTTATTCAAGTTACAATACTTTTGTTTTTCCCTTATTTTTGAATTCTGACTTTTTGGTCTTAAGCAAATTGCTCTTAAAGTTGATAGATTTGATAATTTGGTTCCTTTTGCGAGTCTTGCTAACATCAATTACAGAGGAATTCATGACAGAATTTCATGACTTCCAAACTTTTTAATGTCAACTTTGGATTAATTTTCTTTTGCAGTTTCGATTGATTCAGATAAGATTCACGCTAAGATGGAAAGAATAAAATTTCTCTGTAACTTCTTTTGGAATGAATTTGGTTGTCAATCAAGTTTCACGAATTTAGCACTTTATTAACTGTCGTGATCATTAGTATCATTCGAGAAACGAGATGCGAAATCAGCTAAAAGAAGTGGCATTATTCATCGAAAGGCTTCAAAGATACTTTGCATCGAACAAAATATACGTAAAGATTGCCAACACTCCAAACTCCCAGCTTAACACTCCCAGTTTAAGTAGAAATAAATACTTAACATTAACTTTTTTTCTTGTCAGAATTGAACTGTTGAGCAAAAAAAACTTGATTATCTGATGAATGATTAAATAGTTGCCAATTTTGTGGTCAATTTGATAAGATTTGCTATAATTGGACAGAAAAAGGTATCGCACAGAATGAAAGGGAAACAAAAGCCTGACAGAATCAAATTATCATTACAATTATCATTGTTATTTGCGTTTAAATGAAAAAAGGGGAAGAAAAAGAGAGAGAAGAGAAAAGAAAAGAAAAGGAAAATCAAGGCAATTTGTTGATGGTGAGTTTGACAAAACCATTTCAACTAATCATTTGTTATGTATGAGAAACTCAAGTGAGACTAAAGTGAGCCAGAAAAGGGAATCAGAAACAAAGCCAACTGACCAATTGTCCAGCCAATCATTCAACTAAATAGTTAAAGATGAAAGATCAATAGACAGATAAACAAGAGCAAGTAAAACTCGTAAGAAAGGAAAAGCTAAAAAAGTGGACTAAAAAGGTTTTCCCTCAACTTTTCTCTTCATCTTTTCCCTCATCAATATTATCTTCATCATCTTGCACCTTTCGCCCTTTCATGTTCACTCTATTCTCTTCTTCTTCTCATTAACTTTTCCCTCTTTTACCCAGTTCTACTCACTCACCCACTCTCATCATCTTTCATCTTATTTACTGGCTTATATTTACCATTAACAGCATAAATAAATCTAATTTGTTGTGCCCAAAATGAAGGGAAATAACAAGCAGCAAAAAAAAGAGAGAAAGTGAAGGAAAAAGTAAAGGGAAGAAACGAAAATAACCCAAAAACAAAAGGCAATCCAACAATAGATCGTATTACTGTTCGATAACAAATTAACTTTCACCAATTGAATTGGTTCACTGAAGTTTCTTCAATCGTCATCTTCATCTTGATCATCATCTTGAGCTTATAACAGAAGTACTTACACCAAATATATTTAACAAAACTTGACTTTCCATTTTGTTTGCCTTCTACTTGTTTATTTACATTCATAATAAATGAAACTTGTAAATACCGGGCGTTTTTTTCTCATTTTACGCCTTCATGCAAGCATAACTCACGAACAGTTAGTTCTACAGACTTCAGATTTAAAACATAAGCTTATCTAGATTGCACAACGATAAGTTCAAGTGCTCAAGGTTATTCAAGGTCAATTCTTTATTTGACCTCTAATTGACATTGAAAGGTCATTTTCTGAAATCGCAAAATTTTTCTTCTCCGATAGTGTTAGTTACATGTTCATAACTCATACTGACTAAAGGATATGGGTGATTCCTTAACATTCAGTTGCTCAGGAAAAATTCATTCCATCTTTCCAATGGTATGAGTTATGGATATGGAACTAACACTATCGGGTCCGAAAAATTTTGCGATTTCAGAAAATGATCTTTCAATGTCAATTAGAGGTCAAATAAAGAATTGACCTTGAATAACCTTGAGCACTTGATCTTATCGTTGTGCAATCTAGATAAGCTTATGGTTCAAGTCTGAAGTCTGTAGCACTAACAGTTCGTGAGTTATGCCTGCATGAAGGCGTAAAATGAAAAAAAAACGCCCGGTACATTAATTCGTTGCTCAAATCGTCCACATTTTCCACTAATCTTTAGACTCTATCAAAGCTAATCAATTTGATATTAATGATGACGATAATCTTTATCGTTCTCATTATTCATCCAAAATCTCAGATTCACGGAATGTTAATCTAAAAGTGATTCAGTCAAAAAAGAGCAAAAAGCCAAAAGACTCAGTTAACATCAAAACTTGACAAAAATCTCAAGAATCTTCAACTTTTCATTGAATCTCGATAAAATTTTTTCCTCTAATCCAAGGTTCAACTCTAATGTAATTAGAGAAACTTTTGAAAACAAAATATTCTTTCACCCAAACTCGGTTCAGTTTATTTACAGATTTATCAATGAACTGAACGAAAAAATGAAAAGCAAAAGTAAAACATATTTATACATTATTTAGACTAGTTTTTTTATGGGAAAAAAGTTGTGCAAAAATGTAGTGAAAAGAAGGCAAAAAATTGCAAATATTTACACAGAAAAAGTGAAGAAAAAGTTTGATCAAACAATATCATGATATGAAATGGAATATGAATTAATTAAATGAATGGTTAATTGAATTGCAGTCATTTCCAATAATTGAATTATTCTGAGGTTTGGCGAAGGTTGGTTTGCAAAGGCACAGAAAATGAAACGCTTTAAAATGTAAATTGCAAATGTGAATTGAACAATTGTTTGAAAATGGAAATTAATTTTTTCTCACTTTTCTTTCTCATTTTATCTTAGGTCATCAAAATTCATTAAACTTTCGCTCACTCAATGTGGAAATAAACTCACCCTGGATTAATCGAAATCACAATTTTCTGTTGAACCGAGTTCATTCAAATGGAGCTAATCCCAATGGGCACAATGAGATTGTTACAGAATCAAATCATTATCATGAAACTGATTTGTTTCCAAAAAATTTCACTTCTCTAAATGAGAGTAAAAACGGCGATAATGGTGACAATTGTTTTAATTTAACCTTTTCTAACCAATTGATTGACAATTCAAAAAGTTTGGTAAACAATTTGACAACCTTTATACCTTCAGTTGAGGGTAAAATTGCCAAAAGTGGTTCCAATAATGGTACTTCAGGACCTTACCTTGTAAATGGTTTAATCAAATCATCCAGTTTGGAAGATGTTTATTCAACTTCAACTCTTTTAATCTCACCCTTTCATGAAGATGAACAGGCAAAGAATAATGTTTATCTGGAGAAAGAGGAAAATGATGCTGATCAAGTTAATAATGGTGATGATGATAATGATGATAAAAATAAAGATAAAGATAATAATATTAATGATAATCATTTATCTTCGTCTTGCTCGTCTTTTTCTTCATCCATTTTAATGCCACCAATTCCAGTGCCTAGAAAGAGTAAACCTTTACTTGGCTTGGTTCATCCAATGGTTCAATATGCTAATCATGAGATAATTAAACTGTACCGTGAACCAAGCAAGGCAAGTAAAGCTGAATCAAGGAGAAAAGATGAGAATGATGAGAATGATAAAGATAAATCAAATGATGATTCAAAGTGTAATGAGGCGCCATTAACTTCACTCAATGATAATGAATGTAAAGTTAATGAGAATCCAAGTGATTTGTTGTTGTTTGATGAGATTTTGGTAAACAATGGAAACAATGATAAAGAAGATAATTTACAGCGCTCTTGTAATCAACAGATTAAAACTTTAATCGAATTGATTACCGATGGTTATTTTAATCAAACTTTCAAGGGTTCCCATTGGCCGACCACACCTAATGATATCAAAGTTTCAAATGTGATCAATTCGAGTTCAACTGGAAATCAATCGGTTGACTCTACTGTGATTAGTAGTACAACTTCATCTGCACCCTTTTCATCGACCGTATCATCTTCATCTTGTGATAAAAAATGCCTTAACACTTTGTATGCCTGTAAAACTGTAGAAAATAGTAATTCCGTTTGCCGTCCAACTGAATCATTCAGTGCACCCGTTTCGAGTGAGGCACCAAATGAACCTGTAAATAATTCAGAGCAAAGTGAAAATTCAACACTTTTGTCAAGTAAACCCGTTTCAATGGAATCAAAAGAAGTGGAAAAGGTTGAAAATTCAATTGATTCAGGCCGTCTGGTTGGGTTGTCTGGTGACAGGGAAAACAGTGATAATCCCAATTATGAGGAAATTAATGAAGAACTGATGAAGGAAATTGAAGCAACTCGACCTTCGATTGAAGTTTTACGTGAATTTGATTCGTGTTTCCATTCAAGTGAGGCTGACAAGAGACGGGCAAGTGAACCTGCAATTTGTGCAGCAACATCACTCTCTTCAACATCAACCGTTCCACCTGATGAGGGTCTCTACAATAGACCGGAGCTTGTTAAAAAGGCCAACAAACGTGCAACTTTGGAAAGGTCACAGACTACTGCGACGCATTGGACATCAGTTGACGCTTCTGGTATGATACCGATGTACGATTATGATGCATTAAAGTTTGATCGAGATTTCATCGTAAAGGAAGCATCGCTTGGTTTGTCAAGTCTTGATCCAAGCCAATCAGGCTCACAAGTTAAGCTCAACAAGCTTGATCTAAGTAAGTTTACATTACAGTCAATACCTTGAATAAAGACAGGATTGAGGTTCAACATTTGATTAGAAATTTTTGCTTCTCTTATCTCTTTGCCTTTTGCCAATTGGGAAGAGTTTTGAATCTAGAGTTTCGCTAATGAATTATGGAATGTTTACTTGAACAAAATGCTCATTTTGAACCAGAATTTATAGATTTTTTATCCTCTTTCCTTTTGCCTTTGAAATTTTCCTCTGCCAAATGTTAATTGAATGTTATTATCATAAACATTTGGTAAAGTGGAAAGGAAAAGAGGCAAGAAAAGGAATGAAAATGAATTGAATTGAAATAGAAAATCTGGTTCAACCAGAATAACTGGTAACAATTGAACTTCTCATTTTTTGTAGTTGCATTCCCAGGTAACTTGGAGTGAGACGGTGAAAGAGGGAAATAGAAAGGAAAAGTTGTGTACAATACAGAATTGATAATAATGCAGAATATATGGTTGGGAAATACCTGAAGAGAGAATCGTCTTAAGCAAGCTTACATGAGAGTTGGAAAGAAAAGGGAAAAGAATTGATTCGTTTTTTTGAAAAAAAGTAAAGAAAATAATATGATAAAAAGACTTGTTACTTTATAAAGTATATGGAATAAAAAGTAGGAGAAAAAACACTTTTTGTCTTGCATTCTGTTCTGCTTATCATTTCACAGGTGAGATTTTGCTTAAAGTGAAAGTGTTTACCTTTGATAGTAAAAATCTATCGGAATTGCAAATGATCCAAAAGAGAGAAAAGCAAAGAAGAAAATTATGCTTTTTCACTTATTTGTTGCTCCATTTTCATATCACTTTATTCACTTTCAATTCTTTTGGTGCCAATTTGCGTTTATCTTTCACTTTAATTTGCGCACAACTCAGAACAAAAGAATGAATAAAATTCCAAAATATTCCAAACTTTCTTTCTCTTCGAGAATTTGTCACAATTCGTAAGAAATCAGAAAAATCATGCAGAAATCTCTAATTTCCATTCTCTCGACTCAAAGCAAATCGAAAATGAAATCTTTCAGAAAAAAACGAAAACCTGGACTAATCAAGTTCCAACTCGAGCCTGTTCAGTATTCATTTGCACTCGAAAAATTACCAGTTAACTAACGATTCTCGACTCAATTTGTTTCATTTGATTAAGAAAATGTGAACGAAGCGAATTTCGCCATTAACGGAAATCTTTCGATTAAGTTCTGTTTTCGTTTTTATTAGCTATTGGAATTTAATGTTGGAAAATAATTTAGTTTTACTTTCTATTTTAAACCTGTGAACATTTTCCCCTGAACTTCCAGATTTCACTTTGGTTACATTTCAATCATAATCAGAGCAAAGGTATTTTCGCTTCAAAATGTTTGTGTATTACATAAGCTTATTGAAGCTTTTCAAAAGCAATAGAAATTCTCTGTCAGACAAAGAACTACGTTTATATATTTATCAGAATATTAACTATTTTTTTCCATTTTACTTTTCAATCAAAGTTAATATTTCTCTTTCAACTGTAAAACTCATTGTTGTATTTCATTGACAAGACTGTCAGTTGAAAGGTTAAAATAATGTTGACGTTATTATAAATAGTATTCATATAAATATTGCATTTTACAGAAGAATAAGAAAAAAACTTTGAAACAGTTCAAGTTGAGAAAAGAAATCAGAGAAAAAAATGATAATGCCATGTTTCATGATGAATAGAGGAAAAGCATTCTTCTTTTGAAACAAAAAGAAACTCAAGTGAAGCTCAATCTTTTTGCCCACTCAAGATGAGCTAAATAGTGTCAAACGAAGAGAGAAAGTGAATCGAATGGAAAAAAAGAAACGAAAAGATGAAAATGATGAAGCAAAAGTGAAAGGCACTTAATGTCACTCATGAAAACAATGGAAATGGCATTACACTGAGCTTATCAGAATATTGCAAGAATCTCTACTTGAGATGAAACTCGAAACTTTGTCGAAAAGAAGCGAGTCTTAAAAGTCTAATGAACCAGGTGAGAACAAACTATTAATCGAAAAAAAAGAGAATCGATTTTTTGGAAAAAATATTTTCGCCTTTCAAAATAGTCTTCAGGTAAGAAATGCAACAAAATGTCAACTTTTATCCAATCAAATGTCATTAATAAACGAATGAGAACAAAAAGTGAAACATTTCTTGTGAAACAAATGCTACATTGATATACAGGATTGATTGTACAACATAATGAGAATAACATGTTGTCAGAATGTTACATGAAAATGAAATAGATAATTATTCATGCATTTATTTTCGCCTTTCCTTTACCTTCCTTTAATCAAATGTTAATAATAATTTATTGGGATCCATTAATGTTGTCATCAGTCTGTTCATGATATTCACTTATTCAAGTTCAACCTTAATGGCAACAATGGCTCAAGGTAGGCATATTGTTGCAAGTAAAATGGATTCAAGTTTTTTTGTTCCTTCGAAGTGATGCTTTCATCAAACCTTTCAATAACCATGAGAATGAAAATAATTTGGCGAAATTGGCATTTCCCAATGAAAGCTGATAGTTTAAGTTTTCTCGTTTTCTTTGCTTCTTTCCATTTTCATGGCAATAAATCAGAAAAGCCTTTTTATTCTTGGTTGGAAATTATTTGGGAAAATGAATTTCACTCTCTCGGAATGAAATTTTACTCGACTGAAAGATTATCTGAAAAGATGGAACACTATTTGAGATGATGAAAAATTCCAATTGAACACAAGTTATCTTTCTTATGGAATGATGAATACATTTTTGTCAAGTTATCTGATATTTTCTTATTCCACATTCTCAAAGGTAAACTTTGCTAAAAGGTAAAGGATACAATTGATTTATTTGCTTCTCTTTTCTCCTTCATTTTCATTCTTCTTTTGTGGTGAACATTTTTAAGGTTATCAGTGAATGTTGAGCAAAAAAAATGGAATAAAAAGATGTATCATGAAGAGTATCGAAAAGAAAAATGAATTGAACTGATTATTAAGAGAATGAACAAAGAGTTCGACATTTATCGTTTATAACAAGCACACTTGAAATGCTGTGAAAATGAAGAAAAAGAATAGAAAAAACGAAGAAAAAAAAAGAAAAAAGTATTTCATTATTTCATCTATAATAATGATAATGATGAGAATAATGGTGATGATAATGATGAAGATAAATATCGGTAAAATTGTGGAGAAAAATGTGACAGAAGATGATTTAGAAAAGAAGAAAAAAATCATTTCTTTAACTGAAAATTTTGCCTGATTTAGACATTTTCTTATTTCGAGTCAACATCATTTGATATTTCTTTTTCACTCCCAGAACGAAAGAAAAAGTTGACTTGAAAAGAAACACTTTTTTTCCTCTTTTCTCTTTTATCCATCTTGGAAGATGATCATGATAATGCATCAACTCAGCCTCTAATCAGCAGTTTCAAGTAATTTTCTTATTCTTTCCATCGAAGTTTTTCTTCTCATTTTGACAATATTTTCAGCTTCCATCAACTCAATTCACTCCCAGCATGGAAATGCTACTGCAAGTGAAAAGTTGATTGATATTGCAAGAAGTTTCAAAATTTTCCTTTTTTCTCTCTTTTAGCTTTTCAATTGTTGCAAAATTGTTCAACTTATCAAAACGATGTTTGCTAATGAAAACGCTAATGGAACGCTCAGTCTTGAAATTTTCCCTTTTCTATCTTTTGGCCGCTTTTGTTGTTCATTTTTAAAACTTGAATTTCAATGGTTCTTCTACTCATGAATCATCATTCTCATAAAGGAAACATTGAATGTTTAATATAGTTAATCATTGAACCATGATTTTCCTCTTCTATTTACCGTTATGAATAAATAAAAGAGAAAAGTGAAAAATCTTTTCACCAAATCAATTATTCAATGAACTTTACTGTGAAAAGTTGAAAATAAAAGAGAAAATTGTTCAATTAAACTTTAACAATCAATCTGTTTGAGCTTTTTGTTTCAACTTTACACTCTTTTCTTGACAAGTTTCATTGGATAATTGAATTGGAAACAATTGGAAAATGATTGCAATTCAACTTTTTCGAGAAAAAAGTAAATTCGAGTTCTGATCGAAAGGGCAAACAATTTCCAGGCAACAAGTGAAAGGGCTTCTAATTAGCTTACATGTCATAATAAACTGTTTCACTGGATTTCATTATTTCATCTCAATCAATCTTTGCATCTTCATTTTGTTTCTTTTCAGTGTCGCCAGTTTTTTTGTTGAAGAAACTCTTGTCGTTCATTAGCATAATCATTACACTTGCTTACCTTTTCCAATCTGTATCAACATTCTTGCAAGTTATTCAGCCTTTATTTTATTTCTTTTTCTTCTTCTTTTTCGTCTTTTTACCTTTGAACATTCCAAAGTTGTACAATTTGAGACAATTTGAAATGTAATCACATTCCAATGAATATAAGCATTCCAATGGCAACAATAATGAAAACAAAAAAGATTATCTCTAAACATTTAGTTGCATCAATAAGATTTACCATGAAACCAGAATCTGGTTCTGTAACAATTGGAGTTTGCTTCATCTCTCTCTCTCTCTTTTAAATGGCTTATGCTTTGCTTGATAATGATGATGAGGAAAAGGCAAGGAAAGTGTAAAAAAAGGATAACAAAAAGAAAAGTAATTCTAATTTGTTAACAATAAACTAATTCATTGCCATGTAATTTGTTCTCAACTTTTCCCATTACATCAGCTTTACCTAATGCAGCGACTCTTTCAAGACAAATTCATTTTAATTACAAATAATCTGAGCAATTAAATAAGAGCTAAAAACAAGCCACAATCGTTTTTCCAGATTCTTTTCATTCAACAAAATCTATTCACAGATGAACTTTAAATTCACCAAAATTAACAAATAGTCAAATTAAATGAACCGAATGAAAGCTTTTCGTCTGATTTCTGATAACATCAAGTGTTGCAAACCAACTTCGACTGGTTTGACCAAAAATTGAAACAGATTTCATTCCTGAATCACTCCCAGGTTGAACGAACTTGAAAAGTTACTTTTTTCTATTCTTAATATTGACTGCATTTTGTATAAAACTAATGATAATAAAATTCGATATCAGATGGAAACAAGGAGAAAAGATAATAGACTTTACTCGAATGTATACATTTCCTAATTGAAACAATTGATTAGGGAATAAGTTTGATGTATGATTCGTTTCATCTCAATGGTCTAATTCAACTTTATTTACACCCAAATGTCCATTGAGAACAATCTCTTGTCTGGAATAATGGATAACAGGTTGGAAAAGAGCTGGAGAAAACATTCGCTTTTCATGGAAAATATTTCAAATATAAATTGATCAAAATGTGAACCAGAAAAAAAGATGAAAATTTTATATGGAAAAACATTTTCAGAGAAAAAGGAAGGAAAATTTTTCAGTCAAATGCATTGATTTGTTATTCCAATTGTGTAACTTATGAGAAACTTAGCTAAAGCCAATTGGAAATGATAACTTGAATCGATGAATTTTTGTTTTCTTAAACGCTTTTACCTTTTCATTCAACTTTCCGATTCTTTCCAATCATTTCTCATGAGCAACATTTCGGATAAACTTTATCGCCTCACATTGACCACAGAATTTATAAATAATAATTTCATGAAATTTTCTAACCTTCAAATCGCAAATCAACATTTTCTTTCATATTTTACAGTTAATCTAAAATCGACTCTCCATGTTGAGGCAACATTTTTTGCTTCAGTTCTGACTCTTTTTTCAAAAGCTTTTACAATGTATAATGAGAGTTACAATTGTCTTTATTTTCCCAAATGATGAATCGCATGATAATAACTGTTCACTTGAAATGAGATGAGTTAATATTCAAGTTGACATATATTAAAATAAACGAACTGTTAACTAATTTTTGCTTCTTTTTTGGTCCATTTTTCATGACTTGATGAGTTTAAAAAGTTTTCACTTTCTATTAGCAAACTTTTACCAAACATGATAATGATACTATTTAACAGTATAATTTCAACAAAAGACTCAGCTTCATGATAATGTTTAAAAATGAGTTTTACTTTTTTTGTCTCCATTTCTTTTGTTTAATCATTTTCAAAGTTTCCATTTTTCGCTAATTTATAATAATCAATTCAACTTGGTGAAGCTTTAGATGAAAGATAAATAATTAGATTTGGCTAAATAAATGAATTTACTTGAGTGTGAAAAGAGTCAAAAGGGAAGCCAGAAAATTTTGGACTCGAGCGAATAAAGATGTTACAAAAAAATGTCGTTTTTCGAGTTTTGTTGTAAAGTTTGTTTTATCTTTTCGTTTGATCAACAAAATGCCATTAAAAGAATATTCAAGTGTCACTTTGGTCAATAAAATGAATGAAAAATGGCATCGAATTGAAATGATTTATTCTTCAAGTTCTAATGCTCTTTACAATACTTTATGATCGTCATAAGGTCATCTCGATCGAAACTCTGTAAACTCTAAATTAAACTTCAACTGAGCAAAGTTACATCAACTTGGATTTCCGTGTTTTCTGTTCATCTTGTAACATTTCAATCAAACATTGAGATTTTTTCTTGTTCATCTCTCAACATGTAATTAATTTTGTTCAATTTTGATCTGTTCATGAAACGAACAAAATCGTTGAAAAAATGATAAAAGACTTATTCTAACATTAACTCGTTTCAAGCTTTTTTTGCCTTTTGCTTTCTTTGATTCCACTTTTGACAAGTTTATGTTTCAGATTAGTTGAATATGTAACATTTAAAAGATGAAATTCATTTTTTTCAATGTTTTCAACTTTTTTGTTTCTTTTGTGAGCAAACAAAAAGTAATAATTTTTTGTGATGAAATGTTCGATGAAAAGTCATCAGTTTTGGATTAAAAGGTTTCTACTTGTATTTTGGGAAATGGCGAGGAAAACAATGATTGCTTGAGGCGTGTAAAGTGTTGGATGTAATTGGCTGACTTGTTATACCATTGTCATTATCATGAAGAAAATGATGATCTCGATCAACTTTTACTTTTGCCTTTAACATTCACTTGACTCTTATCTCAATTTGGCTTCAATTTCACACTGATTCAGCAGAAATGCATACAAAAGCTTACAATTCACTTTTCATCAGCTAATCAAGTTTACCTTTCTACTCAAAAGAGAAGTGAATTTCGTTTACTTTCTCAAGACATTTACCAAAATAAATACATTTCATGATTGCACATTTGACTTATTACCTTTACCACAACAACTAGTAGTACTAATCACATCTTATCTCATCAATTTATTTCATTTTTTTCGCCTTGTTCAACTTCTCATTGAATTTATCTCTTTCTCGTTTTCACAGTTTGCCTTGAGGAAGATCCGGAAGAAGTGAATAAAAGTTTAACCCGTTATAGACAAGGACCGATATCACTTGATCCAAAGTTTATAACACTTCAGAAACCTTTAGGAAATGGTTATTTCGGTGAAGTCTTTCTAGGAACCATTCCATCTTCCAGTGGATGTGCCTCGATCCAGGTTGCTGTTAAAGTACTCAAACTGAAGGCGATTCCGAATCACAAGGTAAGAATCCTTTAGCTTCTTTTCGTTCATCAAACTGATCAGAAAATTTGACATTTGCAATTTAATTTCAAACATTTATTGGTGTTTATTGAAATTGAAATGAAATTGATTTGAAAAGAAAATCTTAAATTTTCGGTGAAATGGAAGAGAAAAGTTTATCTCTTCAGAGAAACATCTTGAGCATATCAAAGACAATGAAATTTAATATTGTGCTTGGTAAGGCGTAAAGAAATGTCCAGCTTTTACCTTTTCTTTCAGGTTCATCTGTTGAAAGGTTTGAGGAAGGCAAAAGATGTTGAGTTGAGAAAAGATAAGATTACAAAAGAAAATTTTATTTACTTTGTGTTTGTTTGTGTGTAAACATGAAGAGACACAATAAGTAATATTATTGCAATTTTTTACTTCGTAAGGTGCATCAAGTTATTCAAAGTAATTTCCATTTTACACTTGACCATATTGACCCTAAAAGAAAGACTCTGATTCAATCAACCCTTTATCGATTGAGATATTCTTCACTCCAAGCTGGGAGTTAAAACTCCAATTTAAATCAGTTTCAAGATTTTCAGAAAAAGAAGTTCGTTCTTTATTTGTAAAAGTAACTTTTCATTCATTTTCACAAGATTGAGTTTCTTCATCGTTAATCTGATGGAAAATGGAAAAAATTTTGATTTCTAATTTTGATTTTTTCGTTACGATTTTGATAGCGAGGAAAATTCGATTCTTGGAATTTTGTTCAATTTTCGAATTGATTTGGATTTTCGGTGGAAAGTGATGGGAATGAAATTGTTTGTTGTTTGACCAAACTCCACCTGATTTAGTTTTCGCCTCACATGATGAATGTTCATGAAAGATCAATCAATTAACATAATTGTTTCAAGTAATAAAGAATGCGATTATGAAAGAATGGTAAAAAGCTCAAGATTTATCATTTTTATTAATGAATGTGATTCAAGTGAAATTAGTGCAAGAAGGTTGAATGATGGTATGAATGGCAATAAAATATTAGAATGTAACATGAAAAGTGAAAAAGATATAATGATTGATGAAATGTGGAGAAGAGAGGAAAAGAAAGAGAAAAGTCAATGTTGAGAATCAGGTAAACGATTATTTCTTTTTCCAGTTTTTTCTCCTTCTTCTTCTTCGTTCTCTTCTCTTCCCTTCTCAATCTGAATATGTATAATAGATTAACCAGAATTACTGATGAACATGATTCTCAACATGATTGATCGATACGTTTATCGTTAACTTGCACTGAATCTTATTCTTAATTCATCAGGTAACACCCAATTATATGTAAGAAAATTTTGTTATCCCTTAACATTGTTTCCAATTTTTCTTCCTTTTCCTCTTTTCCTTTTGAATTATTATCATTATCATCAATCAATTGTAATTTCAAGTAAAACTTTCTCCTGATTACTGATGAGACACGAAGAAGAAAAAAAAAAGTCCCGAAAATCATGTTTATTGATTAGAATCTAGAAACTAGAAGAAAATTGTTGCCCATCTAATGACATTAAAATTGTTTCCAAATCTTGATCGAACCCAAGTCGAGAAAATTGTCTAATTATTTCATGATGAGTCGTTTCAAAATGCAAATCATGAAAGTTTTGTTCAACGTTTATCTTGTTCCAAGTCAATGTTATTTACATTTTTGGTCAAATCTTTTTTTCTCGCAATTCTTTTCATCTTTTACTCAATCTCATTTTTCGACTTACAGTCCATCAGTTTCATATAACAACATTAGGAAGCAATTGAAAGGAAAATGGTTGAATACCTTTGTCAATTTATCGATGATGGAACTTGAAACTCTCTTCAACAAATCACCATCTCAATGATTTAATCTTTACATCATTATCTTGCTGTTTACCGCAACTTGAGTCATGAAAGTTTCACTTTTCGAATAATCAGTGAAACTTATTTTTTTGTTCGTTTTTAGTTTTAGCTTATGTTTGGACTTGCTAACTGAAGACACTTGGAAACATTTACTTAATACTATGCAATTGGGAAACTTGAAAGTCTAATGAAAAGTGTAACTTTACTGCATTAACTAATGAAAGTTACTTTTCGACTACTTCAAGTGAATATCAAAATAATGAAAAAATAATGATTATTTTACTTCCTACACTCTGGCCTTCTCTTCATTTCTCACATTGTTGGTTATATTTAATGTGATATGAGTTAGGCTTGTTGAGTGAAAATTGAGTTGAAAAGAATTGAGAAAAGTTGATTTGAAAACAAGGTTACAATTTGTTTAATGGTCTTGATGGATTCATCAAGTTCACATCAATTCCATTAACTTTGTTCCATCTTACTTGAACTATCTCTTAATCATTTTCATCCTCTCAACTTGCAACTATTAAATCAAATGGCAACACTGACTGGCATCACAAAAGTAACATCAGAAGAGACAGCAACAGCAATGGATAATAAATGAGAAAGTTTCAAAATTCCATTTAACAATTTCTCATCATTATCATCATTATCAGTGGAAAGTTGCTCCATTTTTTGGTCACATTTTGTCTCAACTTTGAAAGAGAAAACCTAGAAAAAGAAGAAGGAAAAGGAAAAACGGTAAAAATGAAGATTCTTGTTGGAAACTTGGTAACGATGTTAGTCTCAACCCAATTCAAGTTCAACTTGCCTGTCAATGTGAGCAGAAAAAAAGACTGGCTAATATGATAAGTGTGTGAAGAGCTGGAAAAAGGCTCAAACCATTAAGGTCCAGTCAATCATTGGATAGTCAATCGTTTTATTAGATTACCTGCAAAAAAGAATCTCCATTCTTTTGATTTCCTTCCCAAGCTACTAATGGATTGCTCACTCCCAGCAGATGAACGAGTCACACTCACAAGTAGATTGACAAAGTTAAAGAGTAAAGCCTGTGATAATGATAGAGTAGTCATGTTGTGGTATCCATGATTGTAATGATTGCAAGCCAAGCCAGTTTAATGATCAGGTCAGGTTGAGTAAGGCAAGGCTGGGAGTGACGATTGATGAGGCAACTTTGAGCTTGACTCGGTCAACCTGACTGAGGCAACCTTCAAGGTCTAGTTTAAGCTTCATTTTTAGCCTTTCATCAACTTTTGACTTTTGATCAGGGAAAAAAGTTTCAAAGCTCGAATGGAAATTCTTTCACTCATTGCCAATCTCAGTTTTTTTCTTGTTATTCTTTCTTCTTCTGATCAAGTTTACCAACTTGATTCATTTAATGGGTTAATCAGGCAAAAGACCAATTGATTGATGTTGAAGATGCTAATCCTTGCTCTTCACTATCATTTTCTTGCCTTTTCATCATTCCTTAATCATTACATGTTTCTCATTTACTCTGGTGAACTTTTTTGCTTTACCTGATGAACTTGGTAAATGTTGACATTTCATTTGTTCTAATTGTTAAATTGTTTGAAATTTTGTTCTTCATTATTCAGTTTCATTCTCATGTAAAATTCAACAACATGGTTCACTATCATAATTAGAAGAGTTGAAGAGCAAGAGTTTCTTCACTTCTTAGTCAGTATGAAAAGACCCATTGAGAAGAGTCTTTTTTCCTTCCCATGACAATATTATTAATAATAATGATATTATCAGAAGCAGTTATAATGAGTAACGTGAGACTGATATAATTTGACATAATATATATATAATGCAATTTAACACTTGAATATTAATTCTAATTCAACCAGAGTATGACAACAGTCGACAACCATTCACATGTGTTTTGTATGTAAAAAGAAGGTGAAAGAATATAAAATTTCAATTAAATTATGTGGTACAATTTTTTACACCATTCACCTGCTAATTGATGCTACAATCATAATTTAGTATTAATTGGATGAGAACAAAAAACAAGTGTCAATTATGGCTGAAAATCATTTTTTCACCCTTTTATTAATAGCTGGTTGAACAGTTGCAGAGAAGCCTATTCATTGTACCAACTTGAGTTGCAAGATGGAACATCCAACACAAGAAAAATCAGATTCATGATGAAATGTATTCAAATGACATAAAATAGAGATTCATAGATGACTCTAGCAATCAGTTCAATGTATCGAGCTTCAAAAATTTGATTAGAAACTGATAATGAATTTGAAGGTTTAATTTGAGTTTGATTGTTGCGCTTGATAATGATGTGAAACTTCTGATTCTGAGGTTTTTGTATTAATAATTGTAAATCTACTTTGGATGAATTTTGGGTTTATCCTCTTTGACCCACAAAAATGTATTAACTTATTGACAATTATACTTTCAAGTCTATTCACGTTTCTAGTTTTTATCTGGTAAGAGCAAATCATGCAATCTGACAATATCTTTCAACTTGAACAAATTATCATCATTTTCGTCCTCATCTTATTCTTGATTGCATTTTCCTTGTCTCTTTCCTTTTCTAACCTAATTTGTACTCATTGTTTTCCTCGTACCCATTACCAATCAGAAAGAGAAGGAAAGAGAAACAGAGAAAAAAAATAGTTCAAGTTCTTGCACTTTTTTTTCTATTGATTCTTGAGCTTTCTTTTTCTTTTCTTCCTTACCTACTGACCATCAACATTGATACACTTTGATCGGTATAAATGATCAAGAGGAAAAGGAAATTGATTTAAGCACAGATAATGGTCACTTGAGAGTTGATCAGTGATTCAAGTGAAGCAAAAACAGGGAAGAGTAAAGTAAAAGCATGAGAATACAAAAGACAACTGAAAACGTTGAACAATAATTGAAGCAGATGAAGGTTAATCTTAGGTAGCTGTAGGTTTTCTATCAACAATGTATTTTCAGGAGATGATAATCATTAAACAAGATCACTTGTTATTCAACTTGTTGTCCTTTTAGCACCAAACACCAAACTAATTGAGAAAAGATTTTTTTCCAAATCAATTGCAATTTTCCAAATCAAACCAAATCATTTGTTCATTTAAAGTCAAGGAAACAAAGTAAAGAAAAAAAGAGTTTCAATTTCAAAGTGAAATTCAAAAGCAATTCAAGCCTTTTTCACACAAAATGAAGCT